GACTTTTGCAGGTGTTATCACATAATTTTTACATTAAATAGATATTATAAAAATCAAAATATATTTTCCAAACAAACAACCCCTGGAATTTTGCTACTTATAAAATGAAGAACCCCCTTTATATCTATTCCTTTAGGCACTAGTTCACTGTGACTCAGAAGAATATTACTTACTGAGTCACTAGTACTTGCTTAACCTGATAATCAGTGTTTCAAGCCAATGCAGTTTCATTATACTGTAACACTAAACTGGGAAATAAGCAAACAAGATGTTCTTAGAACTGGACAACCCCACTGCCTCCAGCTAATAGTTAACCGAACTAATAACCAACATTCATTGATCACCTCTGGTAAACAGAGCCAGCATGACACTAATTGCTAAGAAAGACTTTAGTCTTATAAGTGAGAAGAAAACATCCCCTGATTACAAGCCTCCCTATTTGTCCCAGCCCTGCCACAACCTTATCTCTTTACATCTATGCCTATTTCTTCAACCTACCACTAGAAAAGGATAGAGTTTCAAGTCAGTGGGAAGATAGCCAAGAGCTGACTACACAGCACAGAAATAGTATCCACAGATTTCTATAATCACCACTTACGGATCTAAGACCTTCCTCCCAAATGTCTCTAAAATTGCTGATTCTCAATTATTCCTAAAGGATTAAAGGAGGTTGAAGAAAACTTACTTAGCTCAAAGAGGCCAAAGAATTAAAAGGGCATGTCATGACAAGCAATTAGAATTGGTAACCACAATAAAGAAACTATTATCTGAGCTAGGAATTCTTCTTTGCCCTTTATTTAAGACCCTCTTCCTTCTCTGTTTGTTTTCAAAGGTTATTTTATGTGATTGCTGTATATATAATATCATACTATTGTTGGTCTACAGAACCCTAAATATAATGGTATTTGTTTTACAACAAAGTTTATTTTTTGGTGGTGTTAACAAGTTTACCCAAACAAACTCCTTTACCCAAAGCTCTACCAAGTTGATTCTTGGGACCAGAGCCAACATAAGGCCAAAACAAACAGGAAAACCAGCCTAAGAAGTTCCCAAGGAAGCTCTAACCCCTCACAGGTGTGGATGATTAATTAATATGTAAGTAACTGATATAATTCCTGAAACTCCAGAAAGAATACATAAATGCTTTCAAAACATGCACTTGTATTAGTCTCACTTGTATTAGTCTCACTTTAAAAAAAATCCATAATTACTCTAAGAAAAAATTTTCTTTCCACTCAATTGAGTAGTATTTACTGTGAAGAAGTCATTCATCAATTATACAGTTATCCAAAGATACTGCCATTCTGTAAAACATATCTGCATGAAATCAGTTTCATAAGTCATAACAAAAGAAAACCAAATTTTTTATTTTATTTTTTCTTCTCTTTAATCCCTCAGCAAGTGTGAGATATCAAATCTTTTTAGAAATATAATTTGTCTTTGAGTAAAAATAGTATTACTTCATTTGATCAACTGTTTATATGACTGCTCAGAATTACTTTTATACCATCAAATCTACCTCTATTCTCCCTTTTAAAATAAATAGGAAGCTAGTAGGACTCTGATAGTCCAAAATCACATAAAACTAAGCACAAAAGGTGGTATTCAAAGACTGTATAGCACAGTAAGCAGATTTTAAAGTTATATTATAATTTCATGAAATGTTAATAAATGCATGGCAGAATACATGTCTTCCTACCCAGTCATTCAGATTCAGAGCGTCTTAAAAGAGCCCCTGCTAGAGGCACCAGGTAATATGCTAGGTGTTTTCATTTAGATTACTGAAGTTATAACCAGTTCTAGGATAGCATTATCTTTCAAGATGGCTGGGGTAACTGAAAAATCACTAAGAGTAATCTTCCAACAACTTCGGATTATCCTATGTCCTAGAAGGCTAAAAGAACAAGTCTATACCTACCAAACTGAACCTTATTCTCTGCTCTAGAGTATAAGGCATAAACCACCTAGAAACCACCTAAAAATTGAGTTGGAAACTAGAATGTTTAGCCTAAACACTTGGAGCCTTAACTGAGAATGAGGGAAGGCATAAGAGCCTCTCTTCCTGCAGCAACCTAAATTTGGAGCCTACACAGTGGTAGAAATGTCAAAACTTGGACTTAGCTATGTAGTAAGACTTATGTACAATTACCAATTTAGCATATTCCAGGTAAAAATAAGTACTTAATAGTCATATTGACCTTTTCCAAAAAAAACTATTTAGCAATTGCGGCTGAATATGAACTGTCATGTCACATTATCTAAGCATAAGAGCAACATAACAGGGATTATAATGTAGGCCATAAAAATAGGATGGAACGGGAGGGGAAACCCTATAAATTCCTTCCAGGGTACTCCTTTTACAATTTTATACTCTATAATTTCTGATATTGTCAATTTCAACTACTAGAACATCTGACTTTGCTACCCCTGAACACCTGTAAGGATCTTTGTTATGCCAGGCACAGTGGCTCACAACTAGCACTTTAGGAGGCTAAAGCAGGAGGATTGCTTGAAGCCAGGAAGTTCAAGACCCCATCACTACAAAAAATAGAAAAATTAGCTGGGCGTGGTGGCACATGCCTGTAGTCTCACCTACTAGCTAGGCTGAGGCAGGAGGATCACTTGACACCAGGAGTTTAAGGTTGCAGTGAGCTATGATGACTGTACTCTAGCCAGGGAACAGAGTGAGACCCTGCCTCAAAAAAAAAAAAAAAAAAGAAAATCTTTGTTGTTTAAGAAAGATCTTTTGTGATAGCCTAAAGCTCTAGATCTAGATCCTAGAGCTGGAGAAGGTACCTTCTCTTAGGTCACTTTTGACCTGATGATTTTCTTAAAAGGTTCCAAACAATTTATTAATATTTATATTTAATATTCATACTAGTGGCTTGCTTTTAGGTTAATGCACATAAAACCTTCATCATGTAAGACATTTTAAATCTCTAACTAGAATGGAAATAAGGCAGTAAGTTAGCAAAATAAAAATCTAGAGACAAAATATAGCTCATTAATTTGAATTATAACAAGAGTAATATTTTACCCCTGCACAATGACAATGCTTGAATATATCCAAGTTATTTGAAATTCAATCTTACATATCAAACAACTTCTTCAGAACATTGGGTATTCTATACCAAGTACTATCCTAGGGGTTAACCAATAAAATTTAATGCTAACTTTGAGGCAGTATACTCCCTCATACTGCACATTACTTACAGAATCATATGCTACAAATCTTTCCATTCCCAAAGGGCAATTCTAATCCTGGGTTTTGTAACCCACAGCAAAATAGGCACTCTAATATAGACCTGGAAGAAGTGGAAACTGGTAACTTAGTAATATATGCCAAAATTATAAATGCATAAATCCTCTGACCAAAATCTCCCACTTCTAGGAATTTGTCCTAAAGATAAACTTGAAAATGTATAAAATGCCATTTTACAAAGTAATTTATAGCAGCACTGTTTGTAAGAGCAAATTTTTTTAAAACAGCCTAAATCATTTGAGGACTGGTTAAATAAATTGTAGTATTTCCATATAATGAAATACCATGCAGCCTTAAAAAAGAGAAAGCTCTTTGTCCTGATACAAAAAAACCCAAACTCCAAGATATAGTAAACACAAAAAGCAAAGAGCAGAAGTTACTATAGTATTCTGTAATATGTATAAAGGGGAGTGGGGAGGAATAGATGTATATGTACAGAGATATAATATCTCTAGGACCCCCAAGAATGTTACTTGCCTAGCAAGTGGGATTAGGTGGGTGGGCAATACAACAAAAGGAAGATTTTTTCACTCTATTTATTCTTTTAGTTTTTGAATTTTGAGCCACATAAATGTACTGCTTGGTTAAAACATTAAATTTAACCAATATATAACGTGTATAAATCCTAAAATACTGTCTAATTTTTTATACATCACAATATAATCTCACAAGATTATACTGTCACAGAATATAATCTGTAAGAGCCAGAAGGGTCTCTGAAAAATCTGAATCTATAAAAATCAATTTATAGATAAGAAAACTGTGACCCAAAGAAGTTAAATAATCTCACCAAAAGGATATAATTAGTAGGTGGCAAAGTACTGATTCCAATCCCAATCTATTCTCATATATTTCTGCCACCCACAGTTTCTTAATTATCAAAAGGAGCCAGCAAGTGTCGGCCAAGATTCTAGCTGCATCTCGAGGACAATATGAATGACAGAACTAGTGTGAGCTGATGTCCTAATCTCTGTAGGATACTGTTCAATGCACACATAGAAATCAGAGGGATAAAGTTTTATTTCTCAACTAGGTTACATTTTAGCAAAGTGCCAAAGGTACTTAAAGATATGGTACAAAAGATAGGGTGAGGAGTGGGGCTTCCTACAAAGTCAATTACACTAGAAAATTTTAGAAAAATGTTAAGTAACTTAACCATCAGGTAACTAAAAATTATTCTTATATGAAAACAAACACCAATATATTATGGCACAGAATATAGAATGCACATAAATATTTAAAGTAAACATGACACTTTCACAGAATTTTTATGCTGCTTCTGAGTCTGATTCAAAGGGCAGGAAGGTTTGAGAACTACTACATCAAGAGAATTAAAAGAATGTTCTCAATGGTAGTGGAATAGGGCTGGAACTAAACAGCCTATTCTTGTCACTGTGTAACCTTAGATCACTTACTTAAATCTTAAGCTCAGAGCCTCAGTTTCTTCATCTGTAAAATGTGGTCAGTATCATTGAGCTTGTAGTTTTATTGCAAGGATTAGAGATAATATAATTATTAAATAAACTGCCTATGCTCTAGAAGGCTTATAATAAACAATGGCTACTATTATAGCCATCACCAACTTATCAGCATCTTTATTTGAGTGTCTAAACATTCATTTGGTTTCAATTTGGAGAACAAAGAAAGCAGGCAATAGATATTTATAAGCCCTCCCAGCTAGCCACAGAAATAGGCCGACAGAATAAAATGACCTAAGCAAACAGTTTATTATACTCACATATTTCATTTCAAACTTCTTAGCCAACATTTCCACTTCTTGCCTCTCCTGATGCTCATCATAAAATGGGTCTTCTGTATGAATGAGCTTCTTCTGATTCAAGGTGAATGGGAAAAGAAATAGAAGTATTAGTATTACTGCAACTATTATTACTGTTATATATTTGTTATTGTTATATATCAACTACTTCAATTATATTGTAATATAATTGAACATACAATTATACTCAAAAATGTTATGTGTCATATAATTGTATTAATATTATCAGAGTTGAATATATCCTTAAATTTAATCAATAATGAAAGACAATCTTTCCCAATACAAACAAATAAGTCAGAAGCATTAAAAGTAACTAAAAAGAAATAAAGGTTCATAGCAAAATGTATTTGCAGTTTTAATGGACTCACTCATATATATTACACATTGCACAGTTTTTTAGTGGCTAAGAACCCAACAATCCAAATTGTTTTCACCTGCAAAATGATCATATGGTCACCGTCATCCAAATAACAAGGAAAAAAACCCCACAAACATTAGGTTAAAAAAATGAAAATCCCACTTATAACTCTAGTTTGCCATTTTCCCTAACAAAGATTAACTGTTTTGGTCAAAAAATGCTTCTAAAAGAATATCTAGATTATTAATTGGGGTCAATGTTTAATTATCTGCCTGGGAGTTATCAGCTGAGTATCTGTAGCTACTAAAGCTATTCGCGACTCAGTATGAACAATCTCTCTATCACCAATATCATGACAATGGATAGCCACTCAGGGAATACACAATACTTTTAAACAAAGCTAGAAAAGTGAAATAGCTTCAAAAAGATTATATTACCATGGTTTCCTTCTAGCAGAGAGAAGTAATAATTTATTATAATATATGGTTTAAAAACATGCAAACACAGAGCTAGGATCCATCCATTTACCAGAACAAACAAACAAAAAGATAAATCACATCCTCGAATTTGCTAAGTTAGCAGACACATTTTATACATATGGTTTTTCAATATACAAAGAAGTAAAAACAAGGAGCTATTTATAGATAAAAATACTATTTTTATCCAGTTTCAGAAGATTGATTAGAAAGTTAAAAAAAGGAAGGTTAGATGCTTTTACTGAAGTCTAATTTAGCTGATTTTCTGGTGTACTAAGAGTTAAAAAAATGTTTTCTTTAGTATCAATCACTGCCAAACTTATTTCTAGAATACAATATTACCCTTTAGCCAGAAATGTTTAACAAACTAATCTTTCAGAATAGGGATGATTCCAATGCCTGTCATCATTCTAAACCACCTCTATCACAGCACAGGACTGCATAAAGATAACAAGATTAAGGGTTTAGCTAACCTGTGATTTTGTTTTTCATATTTTCCCAGCATAAGCTTATTTAATTGTCCTTTTCCTCATCAACAAAAATAGAGCATAGAAAACGTTCAGATTGCATTCTGGTTAATCAGGGCTTTACTGTTGATTTAGTATTTAGGGCTGATTTAAATATACCCTATTATAGATGGTATCCACATGTAACACTTTTTTTTTTTACACAACTCCACATCTATCAACTTTAGGTCTGGAACTAAAATCTCATTCAGAAAGAAATTTTACAAGATCTCTTTTCCTTCCCTCTTTACTTTTAGCCTACTACAAGGTATACTGTTCAATTACAATAACTCAAAATTAAAACTATTTTGAAAATATTACAGCATCCCTAAAAATAAATGGACTCTCCTTCTTCAGAGGGAAGGAAAAACCAGATTTGGGAACCACCACTTTCCAGACCAATCCTAATGTTCACATTGTGCTTTTTGATGGTCTCTCTTCAGGATTTCCATTCATGGATCCAGAACAATTTTACTTAGAGATGTTTTCTACACTTCCTTATGCAATAAATATATTCATAGGAGTAATCACAGACGAATGTGGCAAATCTTTGTTGCAAAGGTGCACTGTATAAACAATGGATTTTTTTGTTCAGTGGAACAGGACAAAAGATGTATGGCTGAATATACAATGAGAAAATTGGACCAATAAACTCCTAAATTGATAGTGTAAATACAAAAATTAAATGGAATTATTCATCTTTCTCCTATTGCATGAAAGTAGTAGTTCTGGTATTCTCAAGTTAACAAAACTAGGGTGTCAAAATGAACTTTTTCCCTAAACTTTCTCTTTTATAATTAAAAGATGCATGTCTATTATTAATTTACCTTGGCACGAGTATTACACCACACAAAGAGTTGTAATAGAGGACTTTGTATTTCTACTATGACTCTTATTTTACTTCATTTTGGCAGGATCCTCTAAATTTACACTGTATTAAGTTAATTGTAAGAAATTTTGCTTTACTAAGGATTGGTACTACTATGGAAAGAGATACTAATAAAATTTCATACATTTGTAAAATGGGGATAATGGTTCTTACCTCATGGGGTTCTGCTGAACCAAACTAGGTAAACCATGTACAGTGTTTGCTTAGAGCTATGTCTAGCACATACTAAGAACTCAGTAAATGTTAGCTATTATTATATATTTTTACTCAAAGATAACGCTTTTCACCTGTACTTTATAAAAATTGCAAACCTACTTAGAATAGCAGATCAATACAATTTATTTGAAAAATGCTCCAATCCAATGTTTTCAATACTCTTTTGGGAAAAAAAGATATCACATTTATAAAGAGGAGCAGTAAAATTAGTCTAAAGGACAATATGTTATGTGGAAGTGACCAAAATGATCTAAACCCTTAGAAATTCATCTTGGCTGAAAACAATTTAGTCAAGATTTGACCATACAACATTTGTAAATAATGATCAAAAAATTAGCTGGCCATAAAATAAACAAAATCCAGTGACACTGTTTAACATACTTTTTGACTACGGAGTCATCACCTCAACTATAAAGATAGTTGATGAAAACAAAACAAGTGACTTTCTAGAGTCCATTAGACCTATGCTAAAGCAAAACCTAATAAAGGGCATAACTGCTCAACAACAGAGGAAATTGTTCTCTTTCTTTACTATTACTCTATCAATTCCTTTACTAACTTACTTCTAAAGATCCATCAACCCACGACAGTAAAAATTAAAATTCCCAACAAACCCCTGTCCTATCTCCATTGTTCACCAATTACATCAAAAGCATTCTTCTATATTTTCAATAAAGTTTGTAAAAATTCTAAGCTAAGTGTTTTTTATCATTCTCCAAAAATTTCAATGGCCAAATACAATAATATTCTCCTATAAACTAATGATACACACTCAAGTAAGAATGGGTAGGCGCCAAATAAAACAGGAGACACCTTCCCATTCAATTACACTATGAACAAACTCCACAGAAAGCAAAACTAAAAAGGTTTACCAATACTAACGCAAGGGAGAAAAATACGTAACCAGATAACCAACCCGCTTCTCCATTCCTAAAGTGGAATCCTTAGTCTAGGAAAATCTTTACTCTTAAAGCCCCTTGAATTTAAAAAAAAAAAATACCACACGCACGCAAGCACACCTCAGCAGCAACGGCGCCCCGCATAACAAATAGTGATGAGGATGAGGATGATACCAGAGGGGTTACACAATCTCTCTGCTTCAGAGTGGGGGGCGTGTCCCCCAAGGTTTTCTCTTCCTTTCTACCGGAACGACAGCTGGAGCGCCACAAGGAGCCACAAGGAGCACCCCAGCCGCACGGCTTGCAGGGCCCCAAGATTTTGTGTGGGGAGCAGAAAGGAAAGGAGGAAAATCTGAGGTTTCGAAAGGTGCAGAGGAAAACAGGCTCGGCGCGGCGGGCGCTGGGAGCGAATGCGGGCAGGGGGGTGTCGGCGCGGCCGGGTGAGAGCCTCGGCAACCCCGGGGAGCGGAGCAAAGCAGCGCTCACCGCCCCGTCCACCCGCTCGGCCCCTGCCCCCTCCACCCCACCCTCGGGGCGACCGGGACGTGCTCCGTGGGCGCCCGAAGGTGCAAACCAGCTGGGGAAGGCGGCGGGTCCTGAGGCTCCCGGGGTCTGGGGCAGGAGGGAGGAATCTTCTGTACCCGTTGTTCTCCGCACAGCAGCAGCTCCGGGTAACTGAACTCCACGCAGCTTTCGTCGGTGGGGTCCTTGAGCACCAGCTCCAGGCGCACGGTCTCCCTCGGCGGCCGCGGCGGCTGCTCCGCCCGGGAAGCTGACTCCCGCAGCGGGGGCGGCTGCAAGGGCAGCTGCGGGAGCGGCGGCGGCGGCGGCTCGGGCCGCGGGGGCTCGCGCTGCAGCGACATGGGCGGCTCGGCGCGGCTGACCTCGCGCTGGGGGAGCGGCTTCTCCCTCGGCGGGGGCTGCGTGTCCGAGCGGGGGGCAGGATCCCGCGGGGCCGGCGGCTCCGCCCGGGCCGGCTCGCGGTACGGCTGCGGCTCCAGCCGGGGGGGCTCGCGGGGGTACTCGGGCTCGCGCTCAGCTCCCGAGTACTCGGCCTCGCGCCGCCTCACCGGTGACAAGCTAATGAACGCTACTCTGCGCGGCTCCGCCATCCCCACTGTTCTGGCCCTCGGCTTTCGCTCGAGCCGGCGCTCACTTCTACGCCGCGTTGCGTGCCTGCCCGCCCTTCCTTTCGCTCTCCGTCGCTTTTCTTCCCTCCACCACCCTCAGCCGTCTCCGCCGGCGCCACGGTGAGTGCGGACCGTGCCCCCTTCCCCGCTACTATGTTCTGATGGGTTCCGCCGCCATCGCCAGGGTCGCCGTATCCGCCATGTTGGATCCCCCACATAAATAGAAGCAGGCCGCTGAGCGGGCGCATGCGCAGAGAGGAGACGCTCGCGTCCACTGTCGTGGCTGTTGCTCAGTTTTCCTCTTTTCCTCCCAACAGTCTGGAGTCCAGACAGGTCGGCGGAAGTGACGTCACGGAACGACCTGTTTCCTTGGAAACAGAGACGCCGTCTTCGCCCTTAAAGGGAGGGTTCTGGCGTTTCCCAAGGAGCTTCCTATTCGCACCCGGAAACCGAAGGCGCGTTTGGAGCTTCTAAGGGCTAGCGTTGCGATGTGCCTGGGACCGACCCAGCCATGGCGCCGCGCCCTGCCAGACACCGCCTCCCGCTCTCGATTCTAGGGAGTTGGGGCTGTTAGCTGATTGTCCAAGGTGGGCACTGGGCAAAGGCAGAGGGACGCGCGGACTGTCCACTGTGCCTGCGCGCCCAGTACCCCCGCAGCCTGAAGTACCAAAGGAAGAAAGGAAATGCCCAGCTCCAGCCAGACTCGCCCTAGTGGCTCCTCTCTCGAAAGCGCTACGCCCACTCCCACGGGCCTCCTGTTCCTGAACCAGCTCCTGTTTTCCTCACCCCGCCGCAGTGGGCGTTGCGTGGGGCACGGTCGTAACGTGTGTAGTTGGAAAATAACGCTGTGTAGTTGGAAAATTAACAAGCAAATGAACAGTCCTGGGCTCATCTGTAGGGCCTTAACTGTTGACGTCAATAGAAAACTTCTGAGGGTTTGGTGGTTATCTTACCGGACGCACTCCCTGAAAGAATGCTGAATGACCCATTTGAGGCTGATGGAGGAGTGTTGATTGGGCACATCTTGTAAGCGCGCCTGTGATAACTAATTGGAATTCAGATTTAAAAGGGCAAGAATTGCTTTTTTAATTTTTTTTATTTTTCTGGAGACAGAGTCTCGCTTTGTTGCCCAGGCTAGAGTGAGTGCCGTGCTGTCAGCCTAGTTCACAGAAACCTCAATCCCCTGGGCTCAAGCAATCCTGCTGCCTCAGCCTCCCGAGTAGCTGGGACTACAGGCATGTGCCACCATGCCCGGCTAATTTTTTTTTTCTATATACATATGTTAATTGGCCAATTAATTTCTTTCTATTTATAGTAGAGACAGGTCTCGCTCTTGCTCAGGCTGGTTTCCATCTCCTGACCTCCAGCAATCCGCCCGGGCCTCCCAGAGTGCTAGGATTACAGGCGTGAGCCACCGCGCCCTGCTGAGAATTGCCATTTTAATCCATTGAATGGAAAGTATATTTGAGGACTCGCCCTCCACATCCAGAAGGGAATCCAAGCCTTCTGTTAATTGCATTAACTGGATTAACTGTTGAGGAATTTTGATTGAGTTAGTGTGACGTCATAAACAAATTTTGAGTAGGTTCTTACTTTACTTTCCATTACTTTCCATGCTTGTACGAAGATGGTGATGGAATCGATGATTCCAAAGGTCCCTCCCAGCTCTAAAATGATGCCATTTCTCCTTGGCACCATGTTTTGCCTTCGTTATCACCTTGCACATCGCTCCTCTTCTGATTACGAATTAGGGTCTCATTTGGGATTGTCTTAGTAGTACTTAAGTAGTCTTTCTCTCCTCAGTCTCTATTCCTGCCAGTCTTGGCAATGGGGCCATTTTAATGCTTCTGAAACACTGCTTTTGATTATATCATCCTCTGTCCTAGCTGCAACTTACCTACAAACTATGTTCTGTACTTATATTTTCCGCAATTTAGCTCAGAGGCTGCAAACTGGTGGTCTGTGAGCCAGATCGTCCTGCAGTTGTGTTTCTTATCCAACATTATCTTCTGCTAACTTCTGCTAAAGTTGGATGTTTTTCCAACTTTTTGATCCACAAGCCATAGAAGAAATAGATACTACTTTGTACCCCAATGTACACACACATGTCCATATCTGAAATATAAGTTTCACAATACCTTCATGTGTAGGATAAAGTAAAAATAGATTTAATAGAAAAATATTTTATAATACAGTGTAGAAACAAAGCTTAATATAAATAGAAGCAAATTAAGAAAGATTTTATTCACTGCCATGGAAGTCTTTGCCTGTTCATAGATTTATTCCACTCCAGAATTCATGAGAACAGTGGTACCAGGACAATCTGGTCTACTTTTGAGCCTGATCTTTTTCTTTATTTTTAAACAGATCAAAACTGAAAATCCTATTTCACATGCATAGACAGTTGTGAGTAGTATTAATATTATAATAATGTATATCCAAGGCAGGGCGCGGTGGCTCACACCTGTAATCCTAGCACTCTGGGAAGCTGAGGCGGGCGGATTGCTTGAGCTCAGGAACTTGAGGTTGCTGTGAGCTAGGCTGATGCCATGACACTCTAGCCTGGGCAACAGAGTGAGACTCTGTCTCAAAGATAAATAAATAAAATAATGCCTATCCGTGTTCTTCTTAGCAATAAATTCTTCTTTAATCTTAATCCAACTTCATGATAAATTTCATATATGGCAATCATTTTTCTGTGTAAATGAAGTACTACACTGCAATAATTTATTTTCTTCATAGAATACCAAGGTTAATTCAATTATTTGAGGTTTTGAAAACCAAATGAATCTTAAATACATTATATTTAATGTTTTAAGTTATCTTCTGTTTTTAATAGTTTCTTACAATTTTTTGTGTCTCTACTGTTTCCTGATCATAGTTGCTTTTTGATCACTTGAAATTCTGTTATAAATTGTATAATTTAATTTTTATTGATCTACATGCTCTTTTGTGATATTTTTAAGCACCAAAATGGTTTTATTTTTGTCATTGACAACATACACAATACTGCAATTGTATCATTATTTTGTTTGGTATCTTAAGTATTAAGTATGCATTAAAAATATATATTTTTATATTTTTAAAATGTGACACATTAGAGAAGTCCTGTATGAACATAATTATCCCTTCTCAATATATTTTCCTGCTTTGTTTCATGCATAAATATTAATTTAATCTACAAAGTCATAAATAAAACTGTCAACTTTCATGGTATAGAAGTATATACAAATTTTATAGTTTGACAAAAGTGTTCTCATTATTACTTTATAATTAACAACATAAAGTATTTTCAGTGTTTATTATCAATCAAATGATTTATTACAAGCTCTTATTGTCACCCAACCTGTTCTGCCAATAACAGACTTTTCCAGTGCACTTGGTAAAGATATCATGCATTTAAAAAATCAAAATGGTCAAAAGCCTAGATTTTTAAAAAAGAAAAAGCAGAGAAGGCTGCTATTTAAATATTACTAAGTCTTATTAAAAACCACTACAGCTTGTCTGAAAAACAAAAAGCTACTAAAGAGCGAATGTTTATACCATTATATTTACATAGTATCTAGCAAAATCTAAAATTTAAGAAACAATAAAATCAGATTAAATCCATATTAAGTCTTGCAAAAAAAAATTCCATAGAGATTCTTTTAGGAACAGAATCAATACTAGCTAAATTTTCTAAAATTTTTGAATCATCACTGTGATGAGTTAAAACTTTATGGGTAATAATAATGACAGAAAATCACTTTAGAAAGCCATGCTTATAATTCTTGATACAGAATCTTTGATTATTTAGTTTTTGTTTAATGACTAGAAATCCTAATTTCTTACAAAAATATTAAATATCTATTGAAACATACCACTTGTCTATTGATTTATTAAATAACCACTCAAGATGTATTAGGTAAGCACTAAAATTACTTTTATGTAATAAAAGTAAACAGGAATTTTGCATGTTGTCTGTGTTTCATTTTATACATTATTTTTTAGGCCTTCATTTATAGGGTATAAAACTGAGAAAGAAAAGTATTCTCACCGAATATTCTCATTAGATTTAAATTATTCAAACTACAAATAATACTAAGCTAAGTATTGTCATTTCTTTTAAAATCTTAGGTTCTAAAAGTTTTATTTTTCAATCAATACAAAAATGATCTGGTTCACATGATTAACTGCCCAATAAACTGTTTAAAAAACTAAATCTCCAGCCTAAGCAAGAAGAGTGAGATCCTGTCTCTGCAAAAAATAGAAAAATTAGCTGAGCATAGTGCTACACACCTGCAGTCCCTGCTACTCGGGAGGCTGAGGCAGGAGGATAGCTTGAGTCTAGGAGTTTGAGGTTGCAGTGAGCTATGATGACACCACTGCGCTCTAGTGGGTACAACAGAGTGAGACTCTGTCTCAAAACAAAAACAAAAACAACCAAACATACAAAACCTAAATCTTTGTTAAAGAGCAGATTATAAGAAATATTTTCCATGCTCTTATTTTAAAAAATAATATTCTGATATGCATAATGAATCTAAATCACAATTCACAAATGGTGGCTGAAATCTTGTCAACTTTCAGCCCAATACAACAATTGTTTATGCATAAACATTTCAAAATTAAAGATTATAATGGAAATGTCAAGTCATAACTACTACACATCACTACTGATGGGTTCCACTATACTTCAACTAGGCACAACAGATGTGCACATCTGGTAGACTGCTTAGAAATTAAAGCTATCAGAGCTATAAATAAGGAATACATAAATATGAGCATAGCAATACCAAAGCACTAGGGCTGTTAAAAAAATGTGAATAAGATGCTATGTAAACACATCTGATAGTTCTCTCTGTAAGCCACTTTTTACTGATTTATAAAGCTATGACTTTATAATTCTTTTAAAAAGGAAAATTTTTCTACAGTGCTGCATGTGGTAATTTCATTGTACACTCTTGATGATAATGCAATCTTCAGATCCTCTTGCTGAGCTTGACATATCAGGATTTCTCCAGAAACTCAGCTCGTCATATTTTCAACAGCCTTTAGTGCTTCAGTAGCCTTGTGAAGCTCCTTAATAACCAAAGGTAAAGCTCCTGGGTTAATTTTTTTTTCCTTTGAGACAGAGTCTCACTCTGTTGCCCGGGCGAGAGTGTCATGGCGTCAGCCTAGCTCACAGCAACCTCAAACTCCTGGGCTCAAGCGATCCTTTTGCCTCAGCCTCCTGAGTAGCTGGTATTACAGTCATGCACCACCATGCCCAGCTAATTTTTTTCTATATACTTTTAGTTGGCCAATTTCTTTCTATTTTTAGTAGAGACAGGGTCTCGCTCTTGCTCAGGCTGGTTTCAAACTCCTGACCTTGAATGATCCTCCTGCCTTGGCCTCCCAGAGTGCTAGGATTACAGGCCTGAGCCACCACACCTGCCCTGGGTTAATTCTTGTTCACAAAGCCGTATGCAAATAGATAAGAGTTTCCATATCTAAGCCAGGATTCAGAATTGGAATTTGCAGTATGGGTGCCCTCATCAAGTTGGACTGTGACTGCATCATAACCATTGCTTCTTCTAAGTGTTCTATAGTAAAAGACTTGATATTGTATTACTGTTAAGTAGATAGTGAGGGATTCTGGGTCTCCTAGGAACAAAAGTGGGTGCTGCCTAAAATTCACCCCTCCCAATGGGCCTTCAGAGAGGCTCATGGGAGATCTACATGTGCAGTAAGGTATGGGTCATGCAACACCGGCCTGTCCAATCAAGTGATTCCATGGCCACATCTGAGCAACAGGGAGGTCCCAAATCCCTGCACTGTAAAACAAGACCATAACCAGGCCCTTTTTGCACCCTTCCTTTGCCTCTCCCTTTGCTGTGACAGAGTTGTCACAGCCAGTTGTCAGCTGTGGCATGTGTACCATGCTTTGTAAACCTATATCTTCCTCTTGCCCTATAATCCTATCTTTCTCTCCTCAATAAACCTCATTTTTGTGCTTGCCTAACTTTGGCATGTCTGGTGATTCTTCAGCCATAAGCATGCTAAGAACCGACATTTCATACTAAACCCTGACATTACCACCAGAAGTTTTTCTTTATCAGCTGATTGGTCACCAAAAGCAACATGCCTATAAATACAGGATGAAAAACATTTTCAGCACTTAGTATGATCCATTTTTCTTTTGCCACATCAATAAGCAACTCAATACAAAGATTGTCTATCTCAAGCTTTGTGGAACAACTGAGAAATTGTGTCAATAACTTTACCCCCTTTTTTTCTTAAGAACATATTCGAGGGGCTTAATTAATGACAAGTTCATCATACTGTATCTTCAGATGTCCTTTTAATTTGGAAGGTATTAAGCTTTCATTTGCAGGAAATGCACTTATCTTTTTTCAGAATGATATGTGAAGTGAATGTTTGTTGATTAGAGTGAACATTTTCTCAGTATTTTCAGTATTTACAATTCCAGATCCAGCAGTTAAATTTTAATATTTCTGTATTTTTCTCTTTCTTGTTCCTTTTTCTTCTAGTAATAAAACAACCTCTTTGAGGTCAATTTATGCTAGTTTAATATATCATAGTTGACACACACAATAATAATATAAAATTAGGCTGCACCATGTTATCTGTCCAAAAAATGAATGCAGGAGTTCCAGTGAGACCCCAGTGCATGTAGTCACCCCTTACTCCCCGCCCTGGGCCCTGCTCTTCACATGCAATTGAAGTGTCATCAATTCTGGATAAGAATCAGTACACAGTACATGTTGATATTTGCTATTAAATTCTGTTTCAGCAGGCGCTGCGGAGGCGCGGGGACTCGCGGCGCCGCCAGGCCGCGCTCTTCTTCCTCAACAACATCTCCCTGGACGGGCGGCCCTCCAGCCTGGGCCCGGGTGGAGAGAAGCCCCCGCCGCCGCCCGCCGAGGCCCGCGAGCGCCCGCCCGCTCGCCAGGCCCCCGCGCCCCGGGCCTGCTCAGACCCACGCAGGCGCCCGCCGGCCTCGGCCTGGACGGGCAGCGCCAGAGGAGTCCCGGCCCTCCCCTGACAGATGGCAGCCCCAGGATGAAGACTGTCCCTTTCTGTGCTCGCTGGGCCTAGTGGTGAGCGAGGGAGGCATGGCTGGCCTTGCAAAGGAGGCTGCTGGCTGCTGACTCTAGAGTTCTAGGGTCAGCTGGTTTTCAGGAGATGGAGAGAATTCCTGAGTCCTGGAGGTGGCTCCTAAGGTACGGGCCGTTAGGACTTCAGCGTGTCCTTTGGGGGGCGCAGTTCACCCACCACAGCCAGCGAGGGGAGGCCGTGTCCTCACGCGCAGACAGCGTCCTGGGAACAAGCAGGCCCCGCAGGGAGCCCGGTGAGGCGAGAGGCGCCGCTGTGCCGTCCGGGCGCAGAAGCCTCCCGAGGACGGGCCTGGGGTCGTGGCTGCACGGTCATCTCTCCAGCCCACACATGGCAGCAGCTCCTCCTCTGGGCCCTGGGCTTCCGATGGTGACACGGTCTGCAGGCCTCAGAGAGGTGGCCCTTCCCCGGCCTTTCCTCGGCATTTCTTCAGTTACGAAGTAAACAGAGTTTATCAAACACTAGAAACAATATTTAACAGATAGCGACCTCTCTCCCATCTGATGCTCCGGGGCAAGACGGTGGCAGCAGCAGGTGTCGGCTGCGTGTTTTGTGCAGGGGCAGTTCTGAAAGGGGTTGGGTTGGGGGTCGGCTGAAATCCCTGTCACAGCCCCCCAGCCCCAGACCCTTGTTCCCAAAGGTCAAACGCAGGCAGCTTCAGTTGCCATCCTGTGCAGGGAAGCCACCGGTAGACGCCATCGGTGTCACTTTGGCATGGCAGACAGGAGGGGCCTTCCCCGGCCTCAGGGGACTTGCGCTTGCCCAGGCGTCCAGGAGGAGGGGTGTGTGTCTCTGAGGTAGCAGAAAGCCCCAACTTGGCTCCTTTTGGTTTTCCCTCCTGTCCTGGCACGCTTCAAATCGAGGTGTCGGCACACATGTGAAGAGGTGAAGTAGGTGAAACTTGAGCGCGCAGTGTGCCGCTTACCGGGCACACCCCGCGCAGCCACCCACCCGCTTGGGTCCCAGAGCAGCTTCCCAGCCCCCCTCGTGCCCCTCCTCTCCGCTCCCCACACCGCCACCGACTTGTGCCACCGCACAGCGTGTCCTCTGCGTCTGGCTGCTCTCACCCTGTGGCCTGCCCCCGTGTCCAGGCTCCTGCTGGCCGCACACACGCCGCTCCACGGACACAGCTGCACATGTCCATGTCTGCCTGACACACGGATGCCAGACTCCGTGGAGTCCAGGTAGGCACGCGATCCACCTCCGGAGTCCAGCCTGCCCTCCACAGCGGCCAACGCCGACCTGGCCCCCGATCGGTCCCTGCTCGCTAGTGTCCACCTCGTCCCCGGTGGCCGCCCTGCTGGGGACGTCTGACACCACGACGGTCCTGCGCCTGGGAGGGGTGCTGCCTCCTCCCCTCACACCAGCTCCGTGGAGCGGGGAGAGGATGGGGGCTGCCGGCGTCCTCCTGACCTGGTCACCTGGTCCTGGCCCCCGTGCTCCGGCGCCATCTCCAGCACTGCTGGGCTCTATGGACTCAAAGCCAAAAAGCGTGACCTGGCATGGGGCCAGGTTCCGCAACGGGCACCTGAGGAGGCATCGCCCGAGTGGCCTTTATTCAAGCTGCCACTGGCTGGGCAGGTGGCAGCTGGGGACCGCCAGGGCCCTGACTCTCCACCTGGGCTCAGTCCCCGCTCCACCCCTTACCAGCTGCCTCATGCCAGGCAAGTTGCTGAGTGGCTGTGTGCCTCGGTTTCCCCACCTATAAACTGAGGGTAAGAGTGAGTACTGCCTACCTCCCAGCATCGTGAGGGCTGCATTTCAAATAAAATGCTCATAAAGAAGGAAAGAGAGAAGAAAACCACACAGAAAAAGATCTGCAGAGCCCACTGAGAACAGATTTTAAAAGCCTGGCGAGAAGAAACGTGTCATCCCCACAGAAACCAGGAAATAACTATGAGGCACACGGGGACAGCAGAGGTCAGCAGGGAGCCCGCGGGGCCACCAGGGAGCCTGAGTGCCGTGGTGCTGTCAGACTGGCCGCCAGGGGCCCTGCAAATGGCACCACCTGGGTAATTACTGGGAAATGAGCCTCCAGCAAGGCATTGGGCTGGCCCTGGATGCCTCTGGGGACAGTCCCACGTCCCAGCTCTGCTGGCTGCATTCCCAGGGCAGGCCCTGCACACCCAGCTCTGCGGACACGTCCCTCAGCCTGCCGCTGAGCCCGGACCCCACGTCCTCGGCCCCCTACCCCTGACAGCCCCGGCCCCACCACTAGCAGGGAAGGCGGACGCACAGCCCTGGGGAGACACTCCTGGCCGCTCCCAGATTTTCTGTTTCCAGTTTGTTTTCAATGAGCTCCTGTTGCCTTTGTCATTCAAAAGACTAAATTTCTCGTAAGGTCTCAACTTTGACAGTAGAGATCACACTTGGTGTCCACATAGCCATTGTTTCCCCCATCAGTGCCGTGTTCGTAAGCGACTGAGGTGCTCAACGCTGTGATAAACATGTGAGTGTTCTGAGCACGTTTAAGCAACCGTGTCGCCGGGTCAAGTGTATGAAATGCATTTTCGACTTCATATTTTCAACTCACAATGGGTTTACCAGGCCGTGGCCATCTGTAAAAACTGAGAGCGTGGATCTCGGCATCTGGGCACCAGCCTAGACGCCACCGTGAGCAGTAAAGTGCTGGCTGGAGGTGGCTAACGCGTGACTGTGACACTCTCACTGGCACAGTCGGCGCCCCAGCGTGTGACAGTGGCTGTCCGCACCACAGCCCAGCTCCTTGAGACCAACACGGGCTCTCGGTGGGAGGCTCCTGGCCAGGGCACGCTGTGGGGAGCTGGACTCCAGGCCAGCTCCACTAGGGAGGTGGCCTCATGTGCAAACCAGGGGTGCTGCTGGGGGCAAGGCCCAGGAGATGCTGCTAGGAGGGTGCTGACCCGGCGCCCAGCAGGCTGTGAAAAGTGGCCCCTCATCAGTGAACCTTCCCCTCCCTTCCCCAGGAACCTGGGTGTGATAAAATGGCCGCTGTCGACAGACTGGGCTCACAGCACACCCCTGCCCCGTGCCGAGCAGGGGTCCGTGTTGCTTTGGCTGATAAACCACCTTGTGTCCCCGCGGGCAGCCCCGGCATGACCCTGCTGTGCTAGTGAGGCTCGGGGAGCCCCAGGAGCTGCCCTGGGTCACACAGCCCAGACACAGAGACGGTGTTATGAAGACCACGTCTCTGAATTCCATGTTGGCATCTCTTCCAGAACTTCCCGGTCCACTCTACCTGCCTGGAACTTTCTCTCCCAAGTTCCAACAAGGGTCTTTGCCTCTCTTGCTCACCTCATCCCTCTCCTCCCTTTGTCTTGGGTGTATCTGCGGCTGCCACCAGGGCCCCAGGGAGCTTCCTTGACCATGAAGTGTACCCTGTAGTGCTCTCTGCCCCATCAGGCAGTGGGAAGTTTGAGCAGTGTAGGGCGCAGAACACACCACGGGGCATGTCCAGCACTCAGCACGTGCTTCCTGGAAGTGAGTCACCTCAGCTACCATAGTTATCACCATCATCATCACCATCGCTGTCATTGTGATTGGGGTGGTTTTCCTAAACCTGCAACGTAGCCTGAACTGGTATTCGGCCTTATCTCATAAGCTGCATTTTGGAGACGCCGTGGGTGCCCAAACGTGTACATTCGTGGCTCCTGGCACACGGAAAAGGACAAAGCTTTAGAGTCCCAGACAGACCTGAGTCCAAGTCCCGGCTTTGCCTTCGTAGCCCAGCGGCCTTGAGAACTGCTGAACGAACCACTTTGAGTCTCTCCGCCGTGAGTGGCGGGCCTCGGGCTGGTCCTGAGGGCGTGAGGAGCGCTGGGTGCTGCGCCCCGAGGGCGTCTTCAGGAAGTCAGCTGTGCAGTCAGTCGGTCAGCAAATCTCCAACTCAACCTGCTGCTGTGAAAAGTGCCTGGGAGTTTCCTGAGGTCCAGACAGGAGTGTCAGGCTCCAGGGACACAGCCGTGGGCAGTCCCTTGAGGGCCCTTGCTCTGAAAGGGGAGGCAGACAGCAAGGGACAGTGAAGCAAGGACGCCTCCTTGCATGAGTGACCAGTGCCTTGAGCAGGCCACGAGGTCACAGGATAGTGAGGGTCCGGGCGGCCTTCCTGATGGGGCAGCACATGGGCGGAAACCTGCAGCCCAGAAGCAGGCAGCGTCTGGAAGGGCTGGAGAAGGATGTGCCAGACCAAGGAACAGCCTCTGAGAAGGGCCTGAGGCGGGAGGAGGCGAGTCACCTCCCAGCGCTGCTCCCTCGAGTTTCTGGAAGATGCGGTGGGATGCGCCTCAGTACAGAGAACCAAACACACCTCCGGATCCCCAAGACACAAAGGCCTGAAGAAGACGCACTTCATCAAGAACATGCGGCAGTACGACACCAGGAACAGCAGGATCGTGCTCATCTGCGCCAAGCGATCGCTGTGTGCGGCCTTCTCAGTCCTGCCCTATGGAGAGGGCCTGCGGATCAGCGACCTGAGGCTGGACGTCCAGAAGCAGCGGCACCCGTCCGGCGGCACTTCCGTTTCCCCCGAGATGGTCTTTGAGTTGGAAGGCGTTGAGCTGGGAGCGGATGGCAAGGTCGTGTCTTACGCAAAGTTCCTGTACCCGACCAACGCCCTGGTTGCACACAAGAGTGACGGCCACGGACCACCGCCCCCCCCTCGGCCCAGCGTCTCCTGGGCTCTGCCGGGCTCCAGACACAAACCTGTCCCCGCCAAGTCGGCGCCAGCAGGCACAGAGCTAGGGAGCGATGTGGGGGATGCCCCGGAGTACAACCCCGACCTCCTGGACGACCCGCAGTGGCCCTGCGGCAAGCACAAGCGGGTCCTTATCTTCGCGTCGTACATGACCACGGTGATAGAATACGTGAAGCCCTCAGACCTCAAGAAGGACATGAACGAGACCTTCAGAGAGAAGTTCCCGCACATCAAACTGACGCTGAGCAAGATCAGGAGTTTAAAGCGGGAGATGCGGAACCTCTCCGAGGAGTGCAGCCTGGAGCCCGTGACGGTGTCAATGGGTGTCAATGGCCTACGTGTACTTCGAGAAGCTGGTCCTGCAGGGCAAGCTGCACAAGCAGAACCGCAAGCTGTGCGCCGGGGCCTGCGTGCTGCTGGCCGCCAAGATCAGCAGCGACCTCCGCAGGAATGAAGTGAAGCAGCTCATCGACAAGTTAGAGGAAAGATTTCGATTCAACAGGCGAGACCTGATTGGGTTTGAGTTCACAGTGCTCGTGGCTTTGGAACTTGCCCTGTACCTTCCCGAGAACCAAGTGTTACCTCATTACCGACGCCTCACCCAGCAGTCCTAGCCCAGGCCCAGTGGGGGGGTTCCCATGCGCGAGGCCGCATCTGCTGGCCCCAGAGGTGACCCGGGCACTGAAGCCCCCAAGTGTCACCAGCCTTTTCTGCACCCGCCCAGCAGGGACACGCCTGCCCTCCGGCTGGTACAGCTCTTGTTTCTTTGCACTGTTTCCTTGGAAAGGGTCACTGCTTTCATTCCAAAGTGCAACACGCCTCTGAGAGTCTCTCTCAGAATATTCCTGGAGTTTTACATGAACTAAATGTGCAGTTTTGTCACTGTTCCTTTTTTTCCATGTGCCCAAGACCAGTCTGGCACCAGGGCCTCCAGTTTACATCCCGACTTTGCAGGACTTGTGTCCCCCGGGCCTTCTGCCAAACCTTCGCAGCCCCCGGACTAGCACCAAGGGGAGGTCTGGGTTTCTGGACCTCACTGAACACGCTGAAATTGCTGTTTAACTTAAGCATTCATCGTGGGTATTCTGATTGTTCAAACAAAGAGATGCAGCACCACAGACTCCCCGACAGCCACCACGCTGCTGGCCCTGCCCCCTCAAGCAAAGCCACTGCAGAGCTTTCTCCACCTGCCTTGCCCATGTCGGCAGGTAGAGCTTTTGGTGTCAGGCTTGTTCTGATCTCATTTTGGACTCTCGGACCTCTGCTGAAGCATCACGTCACTGTGAAATCCTGATGCCCTGTGTGGTACACCGGGAGGGCTCAGCCGACCCTCACCTGTGCCAGGGAAACCCATTACCTGTGACACTCTGGGCCTTCAGGACAACTGCTGATTGCTGGTTCTAGACTCTTGATTTTCCTAAGCAATATTGTGTCGGAGAAAAATAACGTATTTATTATAATTTAGGATTTGGTTTTGAGGGCCTTCTTTTTTTTAAGGTTAACAAAAACTGGTTAAATGAGGTCTGAAGCTGACTTGAAAAAACACTTGACCCTCCACTGAGAGGCCGCTGACCCCTCACACCCTCCATTGGTCAGTGTCAGGACCTCTCTCCCTAGGCAGGAAGTGGATGCTGCTCTACCAGCTCAGCCAGGGCAGCCCACTGAGCCAAGCAGAGGTCGCTGTCACTGCGGTGCAGGTCTGTGGCCACAGCTCTGTAGGACCCCTCTTCAGCTCCCCCAGGTTTGTCTCAAGTCCTTGCACAGTGAGTTTTGCACGGTCCAGTTCTCCAGCTAGCTCCCCTGCCAGAAACTCTGAATAACCAAGGACTTTTGAGTTTTCCTTCATAGCTCAGCTGGTCTCAAAAATGGCCACCAAGCCATCTTTCCTGTTATCTTACCAACCTGCCTGTCACTGGGCCAGGGAGGGGGGCTCTGGGGTGACCCCCACCTCTACCCCATCAATACCTTACACTGTTTGTGTGGACTGGTGCTTCTGTGGAAAGGATGACAGTTCTGCTCCTCGCAGAACTCAGGCCACCAGCAGCTCCACCAGATAGCTCCCAGTAGAGGTACCAGACAGCTGCCTGCCCACCCAGCCCTCTCTTCCCATTGCTGTAGCCACTCGCTGGGACCCTGAGAACTAGTATCTTACAAGGGACCGGTGCCTGAGAAGACTGCAGGATGGGTACAGGCTCTCTTCTAATAAGCACCCTGTCCTCAGGCCAAGGATCCCCTTAAACCCAAGGTGCACCCAGGAGGAAAGGACGTGACTGGGCAGCTGCTATGCCAGGTAGAATGCTGGGCCTAAGCCCCAGGCAACTTTCCTCTGAAAAGCAACCTCTCCTGCCACCAAGATACTACCTGGAGGGCACCTGCATGGCATGAACACCATAAGGGACTGACTCCTAAAATACTCATTCAGGTTTACAACCTACCTTTAAGGGACACATCTCCATGGGACTTTCTATACAGACAATAACAAGAAAGGGGCCAATAAGCACAGTAATTTAAGTTTGTAGATTTATGTAGCGAGGTTAAGTCGTTTTACCAACCAGTCTGTTTGAAGCCCTCCCCTTCAGTTATGTCCTTTTTAAAGCTGCCACTGGATGGTATTCAAAAATTACTGCAACAAAGCCAAGAGTTAAACCAAACAAAGCCTGAGCCTGTCACCCTCTAGAACAATGGCAGGTATCTGAGCTGTGTCAAAGGTGTTCAGCTGGGCTACGACCAAATGAAACCAAACCTGGTGCCACTTCCTCAGCACCTGGTGGCAGTCATGGATGTAAATGTGTGAAGTGAACATCTGACCTCAGAATGTTTGTCATGGATGTTTTTAAATGGATAATGTATTTGTGTTTTAAAGTAAACCCTGGTTTTGCAACATAAAAAAAAATTCTGTTTCAGTCTATTTCTTTTTTTGAAAAAGAAAAGGCTGCTTGTAACCCTCAAAACTGATTTTACAATTCTCTAATTAGTTGCAATCACCCATTTGAAATAGATTATCAAACTTAGCAGATAGAGACTGAACAGGTGAGGAAAAAGTAATTTTGTTACTAGGGACTCAGGGTAGAGCATGTCTACCTATGCTTTTCTGAGCAAATTTGGAAAATCCTAACTGCTTTTGTTGAGTAGTGAGTGGGGGCCTTCAAGGAGGCTGGGAAGAGGTAAAAGTCAATTCCTGTTGAATGCAAAGTCAGAATATCTTTAATGTTATTTAACTGTAGTGCTATAAGATCAGATCATGCACTCTTATTTTTGTTTTATAAATAAATAGCCTTGTGAGATTGAGCTGCTCATACCTTTTTGACAGCATTTGAGTTAAAGCCAGAATGCCTGTGAAGATCCAAAGGACGACTGTCACAGGGAAGGAAAAGCAAGTGCAGAGTCTGTGAGGGGAGTGAGCGTGGTGGGTTGGAAGGAAGGTGAAAGTGGCAGAGAGCAAGCCAGGCAGAGATGAAATCTCGGTGGGAGCCAGGGGCCAGGTGACAGAATGGCATAAGGAGTTCGGATTTTGTTGTAAATGAGACCAGAAGCCATTGGAAATTTTTAAATAGAGAAATGACTTGATCGTACAACAAACATATTTTGAGAAAGTGAGAGTAGTCGACCAACGTTGTTGAATGCTCCCAAGAAGTCTAGTAAGATGAGAGCAGAGAGATGATTGCTGGATTCGGCAAAATGGAGATTATTGGTGACCTTGATGAGTCATTTTGTTTTTAATTTTCACTTCAGGCAAACAAGGTTGAATTAATACTATTCCACAGTTTGTGGCACATTATTGTCATATGTCTATTCAAGGCCCTTCTCAATCTTTGTCTCTCTCTTTCTCTCTTCTGCCTCTCTGTCTATCTCAGTCTCTCTCTCTCTCTGAAATTCCTCTTTATTTCTATTCCTTGCCTCCAATGGCAAAAATTCTAAATACAACTATTTGCATGTGACCTTGGAAATGTGTGTATTGTTTTATGTCCATATAGTCTTAATTTGTAAATTTCTTGTTATATATCTCATTCTGTTTTTTGTTTTGCTCAACACCATATTTCTAAGATCCACCCATATTGTCATGTATAATACATCCAGTTTATAAATTTTGACTAGTAATCTGCAATAGCACATTTTGCCTGTTCACTTCCTCAGTGACGGACACTCAAATTGACTCCAACCACCCACCACCACCACAGTGCAGCTATGAACATCCTCATTTGTGTGCTCTTTGGATCTGTGTGAAAATGTGTTTGGGATGTAGCCCCAAGAGAGAGCCATTAGGTCCTAGAGCATCCATACACACTAAGGGACTATGCAGCGCATGACAGTTCCTGTATCACCTCCTCTCCTCCCACCAGGCTGCCACCGATAAATCTAGCTTAATTTTTGCCAGTTATTATTATTTTAATTTGCATTACTCTGATGACTAAGGAATTTGAGGATTTCTTCCTGCTAATCTTTTAAGTTTTCTCTCCTGTAAAGTGCCTATTTATCATTGCCCATTTTCCCATTATGATTCCTCTCTTCTTGTTGAATATACAAGGCTTTCAAATCAGCAAGGAAAGCATGGATTCTTCAATAACTAGCATAATATAACTAGGTAGTCATCTAGACTAGAATAAAATTATATCTCACATCTTACAAAAGGATACATTTCTACTGAATAAATGTTTTAAATGTAAAAAGTGAAGTCAAAACATGTTTAGAAGAAATCAGCTGAAATAAAAAAAAAAAATCTCAGACTAGGGAAGCCCTTTCCAAGTATGATTGATAATTTCAACTACTTAAAATAAGTTTTAGCATGTCAGAAAGACAGCATTAGCCAGGTGCCTGAGATCCCAGTGCTTTGGGAGGCCACAGTGGGAGGATTGCTTGAGGCCAGGAGTATGAGGTTACAGTGAGCTGTGATGGCGCCATTGCACTCCAGAGCAAAGAAACAACAGTGACCTAACAGAAAAATGGAGAAAGATACGAACAGATAGTTCGCAGGAAAGGAAATGCAAGTCTTAAGCAAATGAAACATGCTCAACCTGACTCAATTGCTCACCCAAAGAATACGTGCATTTCTAGCTTTGATAAATTATCCCCCCTTAGAAAATACCAACTTAAATTCTACTAGGTTATGTAGGAGGGGCTCTATTTCTCTGTACCCTTGGTGGTATATTATGTTACCAAACATAACATTTTTAATATTTTTAATATTAAACATTTAAAATATTAACATTTTAAATATTTTAATCTTTGCCAGCCAAGCTGATATATTTCAAAAATTATTTTGGGGTACATTTGTCTTATTATGAGTCAATGCATACAGTGGAATTCTATGTAATCTTTCAAAAATCTGATTACCAAGATCTATTCTTAAGCAAAAAAAGGAATATGCTTAACAATATTTAGCATACTACCATCAGGATAAAAAGAAGAGGAACATTTTGTTAAAAGGGAGAAATAATGTGTTATTTGTATACGTATATGTATGTATGTGTATGTGTAGACATGTCTGTGTGTATATATATATGTGTGTATGTGTGTGTGTATAAAGTATCTGGATGTGTATTCACAACACTGAGAATGGATCTTGGGAGAGATGTTATGTGGCCCAGTTTTAGAAACAAAAGACAGACCCTTAGGTTTAACTGTGGAGACAGCCCAGCTATGCTTGTTTTGACTTGGAGCAAACTCTGGTAGCTGAACATTTGCATCTTTTAAAATTTTTAAACTAATGAATTCTTAACATACAGAAAGATGCATTCAACTAGATGAATTTTTCTTTTTGCACACACTGCTTTAAACACTGTCCACTCAAGATGCATATGATTTCCACCATCCCAATAGGTCCATCTTGCCTCTTTCTAGTCAATATCCTCTCAGAGGTACCCCCCCATTCTGACTTCTATCACCACAAATTAGTTTTGCCCATTCTTGAACGTTATGTACATGGCATCATTCAGTATATACTCATATATATTACATCTGACTTCTTTCAACATAATGGCTCTGAAATTCATCCATGTCATTGTATATTATCAGTAGTTCATTCTTTTTTCTTTCTGCATAACATTCCATTTATGAATACACCACAATATGTTTGTACTGTGAATGTATTAATGGACATTTTATATACTATTCAGTATCTACACTTGTAAAGTATAATAATTTTCTGTTTTAATTTTAAGGGAAATGTCATGGAATTAATGTTAAACAGTTCCCTTGAGCAGAACCTGTTTTATTGTAAATTGTGTTATAGCATTATAAGTAGTGAAATACTAAACTAATAAAATAGTAGATTTTGTCTTAAATAGGTTCACTAGATTGTAATCATGGGGCAAGGCTGTGGGAATTTCACTGCAGAAGCGGGAGGACTAAAATATTCCATGTGAAAGTCATTCAGATGCTTGAGAGGGAAAAGCTTTGAGCGTTATTTGCATAGCTGGAGTAAAATTTTTCAGCTCTCCCCAAGCATATATAAATGCAATATGGAAATTCAGTGTAGGGAGAAATCCAAGAGGTTTGGAATAGTCAGAGAAAACTTCATGAAGGAAACAGGGACTCGATGAGGATGTGGATGAATAGAATAAGCCAGGCCTGACCATAGAGTTAGCGATGGCCTCTAACAGCCTGGCAGGTGGTACAAGCTGCCACATCATAACAGAGTTGGAAGAAGGGCAGTGGGAATTAGAACCAAAAAAAATATGTTAACAATTTTGGTTGCAAGTATCATATAAAAGAAATCAACTCAAGCTAGTTTAAACAGATGAGTTTATGCAGCAGATGTAGGGGTGCCGCCCAAAACCCAAGGGAAGGAATGCAGTTAGGCCCCATGAAGATGGAACCAGAATTAGGAACTAAAAAAGCCACATGGATTCCAGACAATGTTCTCTTTGTCTTATTTCTGCTTCTCTCTGAGATCTGCTTCATTCTGCTTCCCCCTCTCTGTGGATGAGCTTTCTCTGCTCCTGAAGTGACATGGTTAAATATGGCCTTGTTATATTTCCCCCAAATTTTTTACATCTTCTCTGTTTAAGCCCAGACTAAGACTGGAAACCCTTTCCCCTAATTCCAGAATCCTGGGGAAGGATCTGCGATTGACCTAGTTTGAGTCAGGTGCTAAGCACCAGAGTAAAAGGATGTCTACAGGGAGCTTCTGCTGAGGTGGAGGGTGGCTTGGGGGACAGGACACTGTTCCAAGAAAGGACAAGGGGCCTTCCAGGCAATCCACCTGATATCAAAACATGAGATAACAGAACAAAACTACAGATGACACTTCATGGTAACAATGTGAATCACAGTGATGGTTTATCCATAGGGAAAAAAAATACAAGTATAACAAAATTGATTTCAGAAAAGACAGACAATCTAGAGCAATTACTAGAGGAGATATCAAGAATGTTGCCAGCCCGGCGTGGTGGCTCACGCCTGTAATCCTAGCACTTTGGGAGGCCGAGGCGGGCGGATTGCTCAAGGTCAGGAGTTCGAAACCAGCCTGAGTGAGACCCCGTCTCTACCAAAAATAGAAATAAATTAATTGACCAACTAAAAATATATATACAAAAAATTAGCCGGGCATGGTGGCGCATGCCTGTAGTCCCAGCTACTCGGGAGGCTGAGGCAGTAGGATCGCTGAGCCCCGGAGATTGAGGTTGCTGTGAGCCAGGCTGACGCCACGGCACTCACTCTAGCCTGGGCAACAAAGTGAGACTCTGTCTCAAAAAAAAGAATGTTGCCAGAGTTAATTGCTCCCCTACTCAAAAAAAAAAAAAAAAAAAAGAAAGACCAGACAGTTTCATAGTTTGTAAAAAGAACAAAATAGGGCGGGCGTGGTGGCTCATGCCTGTAATCCTAGCACTCTAGGAGGTCAAGGCAGGCGGATTGCTCAAGGTTGGGAGTTTGAAACCAGCCTGAGCAAGAGCA